TTGCTGTAGCTGGGCTGGGTTTTCAGAAAGCTCCCAAAACTGGGAAAGGGTGGAAGTTGCAGCTTGATAACGAACCTGTTAAAAATAGGGAATGGGATTATAATCCTAATCCCGGAGACCTTTTGTGGGGCTACAGGGAAACTGTCCTTTAATCTTCTTTTCTGCTTTGTAAGGGGGCTTTACCTTCTCTGTAAAGCCGCCCTGCTAATCAGCATTAATTTTATTTAACTCTTGTGATGTCTGTACTTTGCTTTACTGGTTGCGTTGCCTCCTCACAGTTAAAATGCAGGGTGAGTTTAGCAGGCAGGAGCAGACCGAGAAACATTCCTCGCCCTGGTGACAGCCTCCTGCGTCCTCCTTCCGTGACCACCCTCGTCCTTGTGCAGCCCCATGGGGTCTACGTGGCTGTTTGTCCTCAGGCCCAGGTGTGGCACCTCCCCAAGCTGGAGGGTCTTTATTAAATACCCATGCTGTTCTGTTGCCGGTCAACTCCAGCCTGCTGTGGTTTTGTTGATATGTAGTGGTTAGGCTGGATCCAAAACCATTTCAGGAGTAACTTGGTAGAGGCAAGAGACTCTCCGTGCTAGACATTTTTGGTCTGGTTGCTCTGAAAATTCCAAAATCTGAGCAAACGGGGGAAAAAAATTGAGCTGCTGCTCAAAATAAATACGTACCTGTAACGTTGCTGCTGCAGACAGCTTGGAAATGCGACGTGCAGGTGCCTTGCCGGGCTGGGAACGGAGCAGGGGATTTAAAGAGCCCCGTCTCCACCAAATCTAGTTTATCGGGCTCTTTTGGTGCTTTACTTGTGATTTTTGAGGGCTTCAGGCTGCTGGAGGGAGAGGAGCTGTGTGTGCTGGGGCTGGGACAGCGGAGGAGCCCGGTGAGGGCAGTGATATCGGTGTGCAGATCACCTCGGCGTTAGGAGCGATTCCTCGGGGCTGGGGTGTGTATTTAGCCAAATCCGATGGTGGAGGCCCCCACCCCAGCCCCGAGCGGCGGCTGCCCCCAGAACCCTGCACTGTGCCGGGCAGTTGGCGCCTTCCGAAAATGCTCCGTGGCAGCTGGTGTTGCCCAGCGCCGGCACAGATTCCCAGTTTGCCAGCTGGGTGTTTGGCATCTGCTGCCCATGAGGCCCCATCTGGCAGTGGAAATGGCTTTTTTTTCTTTTTTTTTTGCTCCTCTAAATTACATCTTGTTTTTTCTCTGCAGATCTCCAGCAAAGGAGAAGGGATTCTTTTGGAGGGAGGGAAGAGGAAGCACCTGCAAGTCTCTTGGTTTATTTTTAGCTCGTTTCCCAAAGAAGTGAAACCTGTGATCGCAACCCATCTGTCTTTTTTCACTTCAGTTCTGAATATTTTTGTAAAAAACGAAAAAAAAAAAAGGGGAGTAAGGTAGAGGAGAGCGTCTCCATCTCCCCCCAAAGGTGAAATCCTGGCCAAACCCAAGACTGAGTGATTTTCTGGAAGAGTTGCCTCAACTGCACGCCTGTTGGTTGTATCGTGCGAGCGTAGCAGCCTTACAGCCTGGGGTCTGTGCCCGAGGCGCATCGGTGCTGTCTAACAGCCCGTCCGTTCTTGGTGTCGGTGTGCGTCACCACTCGATCACCAGCTAAAGACGTCCTGGTGTTTGCCGAAGCGCCGGGCCGGCACCCGTCAGCGCGGCAGCGGTGTTTGACTGCGGCTTCACCAGCCCGGAGAGCAGGGAGCGGAGGAAAAAAAACCACGAGAGGAGATTAAAGACCAGCGAGCGGTGTTCATTGGCCGTCTTAAAATTGCAGCTCGGTAATTAAGGCTTTAGGCAGCTCACAAATAGCCCGGCTCTCCGCTGGCTCGCTCGTCTTGCGAGCCCATCGCTGCTGCGAGGAGCCGGCCTTTATACCTCGGCTGAAAGGGAGTAAAAGCACAAGGTAAGGACGCGTGGCAGCCCGCTCCCAGCCAGCGCTCTGCCCGTTCTTCTTACCCCTTCCCAGCTTGTCTGGGGTTGAATGGAAGGGGTGTGAGTGATTTGGGCAGCTTTAAATTCCGCTTTTACCTCTCTGTGCCTGCTAAAGGGTGGATGAAGTTTTGAGACGCGGAGAGAGTCG